TTATTATTATGATATTAGTTGAAGTATGATCAAATAGCATAAAAAGATAGAGCTTTTTTTTCTCTATCAGACTACATAAAAAGAAAATTTCTTAAAGCCTACTTTGGAAGAAAAAATTGGAACTCTCGCTACTTTTGGTATGCCCTAAGTAAACATCGTTCTTTACAGTAATGGATCCCTTTATATAGTCTAAACACTGTTTGTTTCATCTTTTTTCTTTTCATTTTCTTTAACACTTGTTTCAACTAATACCTGTCTGTATTTAAAATTTGGACGCTTTGTTGATAATTTTATTTTTTCTCATTTTTAGTAAAACTTTTTTTATCATTTATCAATTTGTATTGTACACGCTCATTTAGTACAATTTTTTAAAAATATAAAACTAACAAAATACCTTTATTCTCTATATAGAGATGAAAGTCCAAACTATTTTGGTATCGTGAATAGACATTTCAAAAAAGGATATTGATGATTCTAACACTTAATCAAACCACTAATAAATATATAAACCACTAATCAATAACCACTAAACCAATAACATTTAAAAAAAAGAATAAACTCGTTTCATACCTACACGAGTCTGCTACATCAGACATGTGAAGAATACAAAGAAATATTTTATTTTGTTTATGTAAAATAGATCAAAAAGAAAACATACAGATGCAAAAAACAACCAACACATTATTATTATTATTATTATTATTACAAAACAAATTCCTGAGAATATGTGTGAGTTGTTAGAAAGAGCATATACAAAAAAATTTATTCTACCAAAAAAAAACAATAACAAAATTTCCCTGAAAAAATGTATTATATACAAAGAATAAATAAAACAATTATTGGAATGGTTGGAATAAAAATTATTATTTTATTATTGCAAAAAATGTTCATACTCATAATGAAAATATCTGACTGCTGATGGTAAAAAGATTATGAGATTATTGTTGATTAAATCTTTTTTTTGCCGAAGCCATTAGTGGCTGTAAACATGACGGATTACTGGCCAAACATAAGAAAGGATGAGTCAATAATTCAGTGGCTGTTGCACGTAATAACGGATCACGAACTAATGTTCGCTCTAGAAAACCTTGCAAACGTGATGATGCCTAAAATATATATACAACAAATGTTACTGAAACTATTTCCTCAAAATTTGATTAAACAATTATGCGAGGAATTTAATCTAATCCTTGATGCTATATCCTTAGTATGTGAAGTGTAGGAGTTATTGTTACTTATTTCAGATCGTTCATATGTTTTACAAGTCAACACATTTAACACTCTATATAAGTCGATTTAGTTCTTTCACCAGATTTGAAGGTGATTTCTATTATATTACTCTGATTGGAAAATGTTCACATAAAAGAGATTTTATCAAACTAAATGAACATTGAAATTGAGACAATACAATGCTTAAGGCTACTGTGAATATTTTGTGTTGACTGACGACAATATTTATGTAACAAGGTTGCATGGAAAACAGAGGAGAAATACTTGTACTCCAATAATGTACTTTTAATTGAAGTACATTTCAAGTACTTTCCGTACTTTTTATCCATTAATAATTTTTCATATTTTCAAATAGTTTTGAAGTATTTTCTGACAGAGAGATTATTATTCTCGATGTAGAAAGGACTCACTAACACAATTTACTTTTGACAGATAGTAGCATCAAACATTCATTTTGCGCAGAGAGCGGTAATAGTAAAAAGACTAATACATGATTTCTAATGCTTGATGCTTCGAGTTGGTCTACGCCAGAAAGTACTTCAGAACTATTCGAAAATACGAAAAAGTATTAGTGGACAAAAAGTACTTCAATTGCAAGTACATTTTTTAAGTACAACTATTTGTATTTGTATTTGTACTTGTACTTGTTCGCACTCTGATGGAGAACGGGAAACAAGCGTAGGAAAAAAAATTCTTTTGTTCGAGGAACGGATCTCGGATGATCTAAAAGCTGATGAGGCGGAGTTCTCACCGAGCGGAACATTTTTTCCATTACAAGCATCAGATGTTACTTAACGAAAACTTAACTTGAATCCATAATAGTGAACGACATTATCGTCGTCCATTTTGCAGAAAAATTAAACACAAAATGTTCAGTTTATTTTTGTGCGTATTACTATAACTGTTCTGAATGACGTTTTATAATAAAAAATGTTCAAGACTATCGGCATTGGCGAGGAAAAACACTGCTGTACGAAGCAATTTTGAAAAGTGACGAATTCTAAAAATAAATCCCACCAGTGCATCTCTGTTATTTAGATCTATGCCATATTATCAACATTCACTGAGAAAACTACGTATTTATTTACTTTATGATGGTTCTTTAATCTGGGTGGTGGCATATCTCGAATTCGTCTCATGGCTGTTAATGGTGGTTCATCAAAATAAGGCGGTTCACCATCGACCATTTCAATAACCATAATACCCAACGACCATATATCAACCTCCGTTCCATATGGCGTACGTTGAATGACTTCTGGACTCATCCAGTATCTAAACAACGAGATATCACTAAATACGGTATACGATTTACAAAATCAAAGGAACGTACGGTGTTCCAACGAGTGATTTTCTTTTTGATACTTGTGTTTGAGATACTTGTGCACAAAAGCCAAAATCGGATAATTTTACTCGACCATCCGGTGCTAACAAAATTGAATCCGACTTAATATCCCGATGAATAACACCGTTTACATGTAAAAATTCCAATGCCTCTAATACAGATTTACAAACAGTGGCGATTTGTTGTTCATTCATTCGTGGTTGTATTACACTATCAACAACAATATGAGATGGTATTGACGTCTGCAGAGGTGTTATTAGTTCGGTCAATGCACCACCTATAAGAATAATACAGTTCTAGATTTATCTGATTGTACTATAGATTATTTTCTTTTCTTTTTACCTTCTAAATATTCCATGACTACCCATAATTCATTATCAACTAAATAGGAACCATACAATTCTACAATATTTTTGTGTTTATAATCTCTCATAATAACAACTTCATTAAATAACAATTCACGACGCTGTTGCTTTAAAATATTCATCTTTTTAATCGCCACTTGTTTTTTGTAATAAATATCAGTGGCAATACAAACAATGGCTGTTGAACCTTCCCCAATTTTCACATAATGATCATACATCAAACGAGGATCCTGTTTACTGACAACCAATTGTAATGCGTTTATAAACTAGAATAATGACAAAAAAACACGTTAAAAAAATGACAAAAGTACCTTTTCATTTTACGAGATTTGAAAATATCAGTCGGAAAATTCTACTCAAATCTTAAGAGTTATGATGTCTGAAAACGCGTCAAAAGAATTTAGGCATTAGAAAAAACAAAATCATGTGCAAAGATTCCAGTAAATGCTTTATAACAGTTCACAATCCTAACTACATGTACGTAATGTATACACTTACTCCTTCATGTGATAATTTTGTTGTGCCATTATCTCTTGTCGCCGTAACGAACGGTACTGTAGTAGCTACTTGTCCATTACCGTTCATCATTTGTTTTCCATTCATTCCATTTTGATATGCATGTTGTTTCTTCACTGGTTGATGCAAATCATGTGATGATGATTTTTGTACGTTGTAATTATTTGGTGTTGCAGGTGCTATTCCACCATGATCGGATATTCCTGAAAGTGGTTGTAGACTATCGATAAAATCTTGTGACTGTTGCCTTAAATCATTTTGATAATTATTGGTTGTCGAAGACTTTTTTGTTAACGGTTGCTGTTGAGGATAATCTAGACCTTGTAATATGGGTGACGGTGTGGGTTTTAAATTGTATAGTCTATCTAAATGTGCATTTCGTCCTGTAGTTAAATATTGTTGTTGGGAATGAATATTTGAGACATTTTCTGATTCATAATCAAAGGAACTTTTATGAGAGTGATGTAGTTGTTGATGTAAATCATCAACGCTTTTTGGACGTAGCGGAGGAAGAACATGATTCAACTGCTGTTGTTGAAATTGAAAGTTATTTTGTGGACGAGAAGGACTGGTCTGTCGCATCGTATTTAATTGATCGGCATTCAGATGGTTAGAAACATGTTTATGAAGCTGTTGATAACCTCCACGAACAATTGTTTGCAACTGAAAAAAATATATATATATAAAGATTGTTTGACTATTAGACAAGATGAATCATACTTTTAAATTTTCTAAATCTGTTGGCGTCAGTTTACAAGGATCTTCCACCCAAGGTTTTGGTCTTTCATGATGTTGATATCTTTGTTGTTGTCGATCTCTTGCTGCATGTGTCGCTGCAGCTACTGCAGTCGCGGCTGCAATTTCATCGTTGTTCAATATACTTGTCCATTGTGGTGGTAAATTAATGAGTGTATTACTATCTTTATCGAAATGAGTGTGCAATTTATGTTGAAAATCTTTTGGCATTGATATATCAAGTTTTTTCTTTCGTTTAAATACCATTGTCTAATATCTATCTAAAATCTAAACAAGTAAACAAACAATACTATTATGACTAGCTATATCGACATAGTTATAGCCAGCAGGTCACAAAGAAAATGGATTTACTATTAACAGATAAAAAATAGAGTAACCACTAACATAATTATTATTTAGATGCAGATGTTTCATGAGTGTAACTTTTTAGATAATCAGACAAAAAGAAGACACATTGGGAAGAAAAGGATATTTCCTTACTCTAGCCTTCTATCTTCGGTATATCATAAGTTTAAAAAAACATTATATGTTCAGCAGAAGAAGGTAGACTAATTTCCTTTCACTTTGAACCAAACTTTTCTTTATTCACATCTCTTATTGTTGTGTTCGACGTTCGAACACAATTTGTTCGAACTTCGAACAAATTGAGACAATAGGAAAGAGGAAGCAAGAGACTAAAACGAACAAAGAAGAAATGAACTTTTATTTAATTTAATCCCAATTGACTTTAGTTTGAAGTCACAGGAGAGAATTGTTTATGTGTTTATTGTCAGAGTACACTTGGAGTTATCGTTTAATATAACACACTTAGAGATTCCGATGATGCTGAAGTGAGATGGTGATTTGCTCTCTAAAAAGATTTCTGAACTGTCTATGTAGTTTCTCGCCTTTTTTACTAGCATGTGTCTGCAGAGTTTTTTTTGTTTTCATCGCTAACTGTCTGCTAACGTTTATATTTCTTCATCTTGACCAGTGCAATTACGCTATAAGAAATTGATACAATTGACTTTCGCGTCTAATATAATATATTTAAACCGACACAGCTACTTAACCTTAACTTATTGCATATCCTGACCGTTGTGTACGCATAGATTGCTTGTGTAGCGGTATCTCATGGATTCACCAACTACATGAAGATTTATATTTGTGACAAAAAGTCTAAAAATATACGAGATTAGAGCTCCTAAAGTACAGAAAATAGCGATATACAAATTGCTCTGCTATTACAAGCATATGTCGCTCGAGATCAGTAAATGTCGCTAACAATGGTGAAACTAGTAATATTAAGAGTGCTGAAAACCCATAATATAAACAGAGGTTATCGACCATTGTGAATAACAGAAAAATGCTTAGGGAAGGAGTATAAAAAGACAAGACTATTTGATGAATCTGTTTGTTTCTTTAAGTTAATCATGCGTATGTCAAGGTCAGTGAATTAAACTTAGTTTTGAGAGTTTAAGGGGTCACCCACAGAGAATTTCTCAAAGTGGAAGTAAGCGGTTTTAGAAAAGTTTTTTCTGAGTCGAGAAAATTCGAAATTATTGCATCGGATTTCGGGATTTTGATTTAAAATGTATGTAGAAAATGAATAACAACGAATTTTGAAAATCGCCACGGTCAATTTTTATATATGGGTCTTGGCTATAAAACAAAAAGAATTTATGTCCTGCGATGAACCATCGAAGAAGAGTAGCAACTTTGCTCAGACTCCTACAACTCGACAACCCGTCCAACTGTTCATGCTGAAGTTTTCAGCATAATCTAATTCAGGGGTCTCAGGCAAACTTTTTCTGCGACAAAAATGCGCTAGAGTGCGTTTACATTTTCATAGAAACTAAAGCGTTTAGCAGGATGTTTTTTGTCACATTCCGGACGTTCAAACGCGTTACTGATCGATGCGTTTCACAGCGTCGATAATCAAGGCGTTAGAACGCGTTATAATTTAACGCGTTTGAACGCCCGAAATGTGACAAAAAACATCCTGCTAAACGCGTTAAATTTTTAAATTTGAAAAAAATTAAAAATTAAATTCAGAATCAGCTGACGTTTACAGATAGTCTCCGTGCTCTCACACGGCCGTCCACGGCTATCTTAAAGTCAAGGTTCACAAGTTAAGGAAGATAGAAACTAAAACAACTTACTCTGGTGTGACGATGATTCGAACGTGTGTACCTAGAATTAAGAGACAAGCATAGAACAAGTTGAGCTAAAGATGCTTGAAAGATGAACTGTATCATCAGTGCGTGTTTCGAGCATCGACAGCTTACTGAGAAAATGTTTTTTGTTTGCTTGCTTGTGTCTTAATTCTAAGTCCCGAGCAGCTGGTTTTTACTCTTGTCTGCAGAGATCTTTCATTTTGCTCGAAGTAAAATAGCCTTAAAATCACTTTTGATTTTCCAAATTAGTGACTGGGGCTCGAATGGTAATTACTGAGTTTCATTGCTCTTTTACTTATAGGTTCAGTTTCAAAATTGAAGAAGTCTGTGAAAGTTCGAAACAGTCGAATTTCGAAGTCTTGTGCATCGCTATCTTTATGTAACCTGCTCACATACTGAATGATCTGAAACTTTGCAAAGAGAAGGATTTCACATTTACACTATTTCGACAATGGAAAGTGAAGTATGTAAAAGCCGAAGGTACTTGAGGTCTTGCACTACGTGAATTTCACTACGTTGCTTTTCCTCTGATCCTCTTGATCAGCCTTACGGTCCTGCTCCGTTTTCCACCAAGTTTTCTACCTTCTTTTCGCTATACTGCGAAGAAATTTGCAGGAATTAAATCCGGTGAGGCGCATTAGATTATAACGCGTTTAGCAGCAGCTTCTACAAAATGTTTCCAAACGCGTTAAAGGTGTCGAATTACGATGCACAACGCGTTTGTTCTTGACGCATTCAAATGTGTTTGAGAGACATTAACGTGTTCAAACGCGCTTAATTTGGATGCGTTCGAACGTGCTAGCCATTTGAACGCGCCAAAACGCGTTTGATTCTAACGTATTTAAACGCATTTATCACCGATTACCGCGTCCAAACGCGTTTCAGTTGTAAGAAAACGTGTTCAAACGCGTTTAGCAGTGCGTTTGGTCTAAAAAAGTGTCTGCCTGGGGTGAATAGTAATCTCTGAAAGATTCATCGAAATCGCATGTATAACAAAAAAGTTATTTTCTGAGAGAGGCTCTTAAGACAGAGTTTGTTTCTGCGAAGATAACGTGTTCTTTTTTTTTCACCATACCAAATATGACGATATGACTAGTGATAAATTAAATTAACTGGATGTGTTTATGATTTCAAAGATCCTAAAAAACAGTAAATTTTAACGTGTTGAGTAGAATCGCATGGCTTATCTCAGGTAAGCATGTAACAGGTTTTTTTTCTTATTTTTCGAAAAATGATTTGTATTTTCGCAACAACGAATTGTGAAACTTTCTGAAATCAGCAGTTTTGTAGAGCAAACATTCCTCTACAAGGTGGCACATAGTACACTGTAATCTTGAAAATTATTTATAGAAAATCGCCGTTGATTTTCAGAAAGTCCATATATGAAATCGCCGAGGATTTTTTATTTTATAGAAAATCGAATTCCCAAGAATCTAGAAAACCCTAATCTAGAAACCTAAATCTAGAATGACCCAGCAGTTAAAACTGCGGTTAAAACAATGGTTTTTAACTGCTGGGTCATTCTATCAAAAATGTTTTTCTGAATAAACCAAGCAACTTTAAAAATATCTACTATAAGCCATCTTATAGAGAAATGTTTGCTATACAAAACTGCTGATTTCAGAAACTTTCACAGTTCGTTGTTAATACAAACCATTTTTTGAAAAACACGAAAAAAAGCTGTTGCATGCCTGATATGACTATCTTAACGTTGTTCATAATGTTTCATTTTCTCCTAAGGGTGAATTTTCAAATGATGTCGGTATTTACTTCTATCACAAAAACACGATCAGGTTGCAAATTAAAATAGAAAAAATTGTGATAATACGTTTTCTTTCTTACTGTTGATGTTAGAAAAACATATTGTATGCTCCATACATACTAGTAATCATTAAAAAGATGGCATTTCTGTTAAATATTTAACGTAATAATTCACTAGTGGCAATATCGTTTAGTTGGACTGTTGGGAAGTTGTAAAAATCGATATAATATCTGATTAATAACGTTATTCTTATAGCCACTCTACCATGGATAAATCATGAAGGTATAAACTATCAGCATAGATCTGTAAGCGATCGACCGATGTGATGGAACCGGTCAACAGTCCATGTATTTAAATGGACACTGGTTGGCTGGTTTATATCGTTATCACTATCACTTTTTCCTCTTGATTCTATACAATATGAAATCGAGTAGTGCATAATGCTGAAGCATTTTTTTTTCTGTAAATTCATTTGTGAACAATGTGTTTCAGATCCAAGAGCTTGATAAAGTGTGTGTATAGTATTGATTATTCATCATAAATTCTTTGTGTTATTATCATTGAATTTTTGAAGACATGCTAATATACTAGATTTTCGTATGATGAAAATTTTATCATTGTCTTTCTATTTCTGACCAAATTTAATTTTACGTTATCTCTGACTAAAAGTCATACCTGGTCATATATTTATTTCTCTGTAAGAATATAAAATTGTAAACTTTAAAAATTGTTTTTATTTTCGTGAATGAAACTCATTCCACCAAAAAAGAGCAATATAAAAGTAATAAAAAGAGAACTTTTTTCGTGAATCATAGTGACTTTAAAGTAAAAGCATTAAGAAAACATTGAATATAAAAGGTCTGAAATTTTTGTGTAATTTTAGATAGAAACTATAAGTCAAAAATGATTTATTTTATCGTGTTTTTTACTTTATCCACCGTTCCGATCTACCTTCATTAGGAAAGAAACTTATGTAGACCATGAACAACACTCAAGTTTCATTTTGCCTGAGTAATAATCTTGTGAGAAATAGAGCGAAATAAAATATATTTTGAAACAGATTAACATAATCTATGAAAGAGAACAACAAAGGTAACAGTCATAAAAATTTCCTTAGAAGCCATTTAAAACACATTAGAACTTTGATTTCCCGTTGTTAAATGTTCTAAAGATATATCGTTTCATCAGATTTTGTAAATTAACATTCATACTGACACAATATGTACAAAATATTATAAATGAGAAGAAATTATTTATCGCTCAAGTCAACATCATTCAATATTTGCGTACTCGCACACTACTCTCATCAATTGGTTAACAAGAACGATAATACAAACACGTTGTTTAGATCAATACACGAGACAATCAATTTTTTCTAGAATTAGACGACATACTCTGCATAGATATACGATTTTTTTTTCTTTAACATAACATGATATTAGGAGGATTTCCATAAGACAAAATATATATCAGTCTACATATATTTCTCTTTCTTGTCTGTTCTCTTCGTCTGTTTTCCATCTATTTAGATAGTTCTTTTGCCTAATGATAATATACAGCTGTGTTACTGACTCAACCTAAGTATTAGTTCAAGTTCTATTGACATTCGTACGAGAGGCAGGATATGAAGAGAAAATCCAAAGATTTTACCCGTTTGACTCTTCCAGACGACAACATAGATGTTTTTCCTTTAGATGTGGATTAGCAGTTGTTGTATTTATCACACTTATTTTTTATAGAAAAGTCAAAAAAGATGAATTATTATGTCATCTATACTTTACTTTTTATTTCTTGTACATACGCCGTTCAACCATCGTTAAAACTCACAATATCACCGGATAACAAATATATAGAGCGTGATAGTGAAATTTCTATTTTGTGTGAACTACGGGATCCGACAGATAGTAAAGATAAACCCGTTTTGTACTACGTAGATCCACGCACACAAAAACGAACGCCTGTAACACGTGCACTACTCAATGGTGCTGTTAAACAAATACCAGAATTATTTCAAAATGTGGAAAATCGTGCTCGATATCAACATGAAGGTAAAAATCACATAAAAATCACAAAAGCACAAGTGATTGATTCAGCCATCTATGAATGCGAATGTCCTGACTGTGAAGCGCCACCGAAGAAAGATCACAAAGAGTTTTTCATTACAAAATATGCTGAGCCGCAATTATCTGTTACACCCGATCCATTAATAGAAGGAAATCAAGCTACATTTCGATGTCAAATTGATGAATTTTATCCTTACACGGGCATTGAAGTATTAATCCACCATCACAAATACAATACCACCACAAAAGCTGAAGTGGTAACAGCTAATCATCTCAAAAATGTGTTTGAACAAAATTTAAAATGGAATGTATCTTTACAAGTTCAAGCTGATTGGCATGAACATCAATTTGAATGTATTGTAAAACAAGGTAAATTGTTAATTATCTCTTGATTTTGGGTTAAAAGTCCAATGAAACAGAACTTCTGTGACCCTTTTACAGTTAATAGTGGAGGCATATATTCAGACGAAATATCACCAATAGGGTGGGACAGTTCCAGTTCAGTTCTTTTGAACGGGAACTAGTAACAGTTCTTTTCAAAAAATTAAAATTGAAATAAAACCGGTGAACCTACTTACATTGACTTTGTGTAGTGCGCTAGAGCTAGATGGTTTGTTTAGTTAACTAAACCAGGCCAATATAACTAGTTACATCAGTTTTATGTTATATTGAATTCGTGAAAAGAACTGATAATCAGTTCCCGTTCACTGGTGACTGAACTGGTAACCAGTTCTTAAGAACGATAGGAACTGGAACTGTCCAACCCCTAATCACCAACAATGAAACTATTCCAAATTCCACTCTCTCGCTTTTCCTTCAAACTCTACTTAATTATAGATAATTTCTAATACTGATCACAAAACCAGTATCGTCGTCGACCGATAGATCTTTGTTAGTTAAATCTATATAAATCAAACCTCTGAAGTCTCACTTAAAATTTCGACTACATTGACATTCTTTGACTTTTTTACGGTTCTTATAAAACTAGGTATATGTTGCAGTGGAAATCAAAATCAAGGGCGATTTAAAATTCCCCTAGGGGAAATCAAACTTTCGAGTTCTCCTGAAAGAATGCCAGTTGAAATCAAAATTTTGACTTCCCCTATAGGGCAATTTTAAATTCCCCTAAAGAGTGTTTGATTGATATTTAGCATACTGATATTCATAGTTTATTTAATTAATAAATAATAATTAATAATTTAATTGATACTTTATTAAAATTTATACATTCAAACATAGACATTTTTTCTTTGGATGACACTCATTATCTTGATTTGCACTACCATCAGGTTCACATGATGTAGTTTCTAAAGAGCAACGAGTTCAGCCTAAATTATAGTTTTAATTACACGAAATTATTATTCATGTATTATTATGTATTATTAGATTGCATCCATTTACCAAATTTGAAATTGACAAGCATTAAAAAATGGCTAGATTTATAATAACAATTTATACATTCAAATATAACAAACTAATTGATTAATAAGTTCGTTTTA